GATGTGGCATTGAAGGCCCATCGACGTGTAAGCCAATGTAACAGCGTCCACTGTCCAAAAAGACAGTCTTTGCTTCGTGACCGGAAACCCCTTTGGTGCGGCCACCGAAAAAGCTGCTCTGATGGTCTAAATCCAAAAAAAGCTCCATATTTACACTCTGAAGGCCCGTACAGGGCAGAGTAAGTCTAGTTGTCACTCGTCTTCTGAAGCGGGAAAAGCAGACAGTGAAATAACTGAAGGAGTAGAGAGCACTTTAGGCACGTTAGCCGTGCCTTAGCTTGAGAATGACCTTAGAGTCGTTGGGCCCAAACTCAAGGCAGGAAGCACTGACAGAGAGTGCTTGCAGGTCGCCTACTCGCTTGACTGATGCTAAGTACGGTCTTAAGCTAAATTGGCCGTAGTTCGGCCGACTGTAGAGACTCGAAGGGGGGCCCTTTGAGGGCCCTGAGGACTGTTGACAGGTCCCAAGGGGAAATAGTAAATAACCCTCTGGGGTCCACTATCGCGCCTGCATGATTGTCTCGATTTTTTTCACATAGCAGCAAAATAGACTTACAATTTTTGGTCATACAGACTTAAGAAATATGAAAAAATAAACTGTTAAATGTCTACTTTTTTATGTGTCCACTTACAATCGAAATTGTGCTTTTGTAAAATTAAGAAAATAAACAGGGTGTGCTTTCTGCCTCTCCGTCTCTTTGAATTTTTTTTCTGGAGCATGTCTCTATTCACTATTCACCCAGGCATGAGCAATATATTTTTGTAATCATTTAAGTGTGTACTTTTCAATAATCTAATTCAAAACTAAAATAAATATTCTCTGTTTATGTAATCTATATAAAAAGAGAGAGATGTCAGTCGTTCTCATTATCGTTCTCACAGCTCATTATTCTGCTAATGTGACGCAAATGATCTGAGGCAACATGCAAATGAGTCAGCGCCCACATCAACTCGGTAAAACACACCAAGTTTAATCAGATTAATGAACTATGTCGTCTTGAGAGGCAGTGAGGAATAATCCTGGGAAATTTACCTCAGAACAAGTGATGGTTTATTTTCATTTCGAGGAGCAACGGATCTAGCTGATAATTGTGTAAGTTTTTTATTATTGTGCTTTGTTCTAATCGGGATATAGAATAGTGTCTGTAAACGCAAAAAGACTGTTTAAATTTGAATCACGTTTCTTTGTGAATGAATGAACAGCACAGATGCGCACTGTTGTTTACTACAGCTTGCAAAAAGACTGTTTAAATATGAATCGCATCTCTGTGTGTGAATGAATGAACAGCACAGATGAGCACTGTTGTTTACTATGTTACAGACGAAATATGAAAGACAACATTTCGTTGACTAGTTTTGGATAGATTAGTTTTTATTCTAAAATAGACCCTAAGCTTTTGTTTGCCAGTTTCTGCTCATATGTTAAATCAACACATTCTCATCCCAAGGCGTCATCTAACTGACACTTTTGACCATGCGTCAACATGCCGACGCACATGGTACCCCTTAAGCGTCAATATGAGACGCTCATCCTCGGGCGTCATCTAACTGACGCTTTTGACCATGCGTCTAAATCCGACGCACATGGCACCCTTTAGCGTCAGTTAGATGACGCTTCCGTTATGGGTAGGTTTAGGTCTGGGGTAGGGTTAGGTTTAGACCACTAGGAGACGCGTCTCATATTGACGCTTAAGCAGACTGATCTCATGAAATGGCGTATGTATGACACGCCAATTCGTATTTCCATTTTTGGCGTACTATCAACACGCATAATCGCTTTTCAGCGTGTTTATCAACGCCTTTGACTTAACGTTATATTACTGTATTATGTATATATAAATATATGACCTACCCCAACCCCGTCACTAAACCTACCCGTCACTGGGGTTAATACCATTTATGAGTCTTCTCCTACCATCCTAGGAAAAGAAATATCGCTCCACAGATGTAGATATAGATTTTGCTTCGTTTCGCTCGGACATTTAACGGCGTACACATACACGCGGAATCACTCGGACGTTTAATGGCGTAGACATACACGCAAAAGATTTCGGCGTGGACATACACGCGGATAGCTCAAAATGCGTATAGATAACACGCCACTTGAATTGAAAGTGGCGTGTATGTTTACGCAAAGTCATGATGTCATGTTGCGCTTAAGGGGTGCCATGTGCGTCGGCATGTTGACGCATGGTCAAAAGCGTCAGTTAGATGACGCCTTGGGATGAGAATGGGCTGGTTAAATATATAGTATATGTTTGTCAAAAATAAACTCATCAACTAAGATGTTAGTGTTTGTTCCAATGCAAGCTATATCAAACTAATGAATCCTTAACTTTGAAATATGTATGATACAATGTATTGGCCTACTTTAAAAAATAATACTTTATAAGAAATTTATGGGAAAAGACCATTTTCTTTTCAAGATGTTTCCACAACTGATTATTGGTGTAAAGAGATTCGGTATGATTTTAAGCAAAGTATAGTATAGCATTAAAAACTGCAAAGTCACGGATTCACATAATCAATCTGTTTATTCTCTCTCTCTCGCTGTCATGAAACTGCACATGGAACAAGTACAGAGGTGATCCAAACGCAGGCTTTATTATGAGGAGAATCCAGAGACAGGTACAGGGAAACAGGCAGGGGTCAAGACCAAGTAAGCAGTCCAAACAAACATCAAATCAATGCAGGGATAAGGCAAACGGGAAACCAGGAACAGGCAGATGAATCGAAACACTGGAATATTCGGAAACTGGAACAAGGCTAGGTAATGCAGTCAGACACATACAATACTGAGCAATGGTACAAAGGGCCACTCAGGCTTAAGACAGGTGCGCTAAACAAGATAATAAAACACAGGTGCATAAAATAAACCATAATCAGACCAGGGTGAAACATAAAAGAAACAATAAACTAGGAAGGAGTGCCCCCCAGAGGCTCAAGCGGGCACTCCAGCCGCAGATCGTCACATAACCCCCCCCCCTCTAAGGAGCGGCTTCCAGACGCTCCTAAGAGCTCCGGAGGGAGGTCGACGGGGATGGGGTGGAGGGCCAGGCCCGTGGAGAGGCAGGGGCCCTGGAGACCAGAGCATGGCACGAGACCACGGGGAGGCACGCTCCGTAAGTAGGCTGGAGCATAAGTGACAGGAGAACAGGACAGAGTACACATAACACAGGACCAGGGCAGAGTACACTTAACAGGCGGGGCCGGAAAGGCGAGGCACAGAGGCGGGGCCGGCAGGGCGAGGCGCAGAGGCGGGGCCGGCAGGGCGAGGCGTCTGGATACACTCACCGGAGCCTGGCGAGCCGAACGAGTCCTCCTCCTCCTCCTGCAACGGCGAGTCACTGGGCTTGATTCAATCACTTGGTCTGAATCACTCACTTTGCTAGATTCAGCACTGGACGCACTTGACTCGGCGGCACTTGACTCACTTGACTCGGCTGGCACGCGCTCAGTAGAAAACTCTTGAGGCAGGAATATAACGGAGCTTACGTGAAGTGTTAGAACGTCGGGATTCACATGTTGCGTGGATACGGCGGACCCTTTACGAAGCGCTGGTTCAACTGGGCTTTCATGTAGCGCAAACTCGGCGGAGCACGTGTGAAGCGCTGGTTCACCGGGAGACAATTGATGCGTGGATTCAGTGGGTCCCTTGTAAAGTGGCGAATCGTCGGGTCCTTTGTGAAGCAAAAGTTCCAAGAAATCCACAGTAAAAAGCGAACCGCTCATGGAAAGGGCCAGGTCAATATATTGGGTAAGAGTCCAGCTTGAACTCGGAAACGGTATAGCAGAGCTGAGCGGTTCAGACAGTCCTCCCCGAAATAACATCATTAAACAGAAATCATCTAAGTAGGACTGACGAGAGAGCTTCAAAAAATCTGTCACAAAAACCTTGAGAGGACGTTCTCCTTGACGGAGGCTTGCGATCTGCGCTGTGGGATCCATAACGAGGTCCGTGTTCCTCTCAGCCGCTGGATCAGTAGTGGCTCAGTATTCTGTCATGAAATTGCACATGGAACAAGGACAGAGGTGATCCAAACGCAGGCTTTATTATGAGGAGAATCCAGAGACAGGTACAGGGAAACAGGCAGGGGTCAAGACCAAGTAAGCAGTCCAAACAAACATCAAATCAATGCAGGGATAAGGCAAACGGGAAACCAGGAACAGGCAGATGAATCGAAACACTGGAATATTCGGAAACTGGAACAAGGCTAGGTAATGCAGTCAGACACATACAATACTGAGCAATGGTATAAAGGGCCACTCAGGCTTAAGACAGGTGCGCTAAACAAGATAATAAAACACAGGTGCATAAAATAAACCCTAATCAGACCAGGGTAAAACATAAAGGAAACAATAAACTAGGAAGGAGTGCCCCACATTATAGGGAAGCATCCAACGGGAAATTGTGAGATATGCAGTCAACCAGAAACTGTGGAACATGTGCTGTTTGAGTGCACTAAATACTCAAATCAAAGACTGGCTCTAAGGAATGGACTGGAACATGAAGGAATCAAGCAAATGGATATTACAAATATCTTCTCAAATAATTCTGGAAAGATGGTGCTTAAAATCGTGTCATTGTATCTACAACAAATTGGACTAAACATAAGGATTTAAACAAATGTAACTAAGATACAGTAGGTGGCGATAATGCTCCATATGGTTGCAAGTCGTTAGTAAAAAACGAAGAAGAAGAAGAAGAAGAAGAAGAAGAAGAAGAAGAAGAAGGAGTGCCCCCCAGAGGCTCAAGCGGGCACTCCAGCCGCAGATCGTCACACTCGCACACACTCTCTCTCTCGCACACTGAAAACCAGGAAGTTTGTGGATTCGAGAGAAACGAAACCTATATCCTTGCTACACGAGCCTCTCCACACTCTTCTAGTTTGGTTAAAGCTGTAAAGGAGGGAATATTTTTTCTGTCAAAGCAGGTAAGAACGTCAGAAATCCTTAACTAATTGTTTTATGTCTTCTTGTTGCATCGAAAACAGGGCATTCAATTACTGTATGAGTTTGATAATATTTCCATGTTAATCTGGATGATTCATGTTTATTCTTCTGGTTACGGATCAAGAGTTTAGGATTCTTTTATATTAATTCACAAAACTGTTAGCATTTTGTAGATTTGTATACATGCTCTTTCATCAATGATTTACATGTGGATTTATGTACTTTAATGATTTACTTCTGGCAGAACAGTTTCTATTTGAGGTACAGACTGTCTGCAAAGAAATGTCTGAATCTGCAGCGAGTCAGTATGAGGATCAGTTCAGCTGTCCAGTCTGTTTGGATCCTCTGAAGGAGCCGGTGACGATTCCCTGTGGACACAGTTACTGTATGAGCTGTATTACTGACTGCTGGGGCCAGAAGGAGCAGGGGCCGCCGTACCGCTGTCCCCAATGCAGAGAGAGCTTCAGTCAGAGACCTCTACTGAAGAAGAACACTCTGATAGCTGAGATGATGGAGACGCTGCAGAAGACGTCTCTACAAACGGCTGCTGTGGAGTGTGATGTTTGCACTACAGAGAAGAACAGAGCTGTAAAGTCCTGTCTGCAGTGCTTGGCCTCCTTCTGTCAAACTCACCTGCAGCTTCACTATCAATCTCCTGCGTTTATGAAGCACAAACTAGTCGAAGCTTCCAGACACATTCAGGAGAACTTTTGTCTCAGTCATGGGAAACTACTGGAGATTTACTGTCAGGATGATCGTCAGTGTATTTGTTACTTGTGTATGATTGACGGTCATAAAAACCACAATGTGGTGCCTTTGGATTCAGAATGGACTAGTAAAAAGGTAATCAACTCTTGTGTGCTTTAATTTAAATTACCAATTTAAATTAGTGAGATACTAACCAACTTCCTCCTTTTATGTAAACATCTTCAGAAAGAGTTAGAGGAGATAAAGGTGTCGTGTCAGAAGCTGATCCAGGAGCGAGAGAGAGGAAAGCGGGAACTCCGTGAAGCTGTGAAGTCTTTTAAAGTGAGTATGACAGTGATGTTTACAGTGCTTGTAAAAGTGACGTATTATTACAGATCCCACAGAGAATCTTAAGTGATATTTGCAGCAGAAAAACAAGAGCGAAAACATACTCATACAAACAACAACAACAAATGTGCCAATGCTAATGTTTTCTGGTTCATGTAGTTTTTGCGCATGCAAAAGTAGTCATTTATTTTTCGGAAACATTGCTTTCAGTTCTTTGTAGTTATATAAAGTATGTTTGCAAATAACCGGAAAACTAATCCAGTATAAACAAGCTACATTTTAGTTCTCTTACGAGAGGTTCTCTCGTATTGCGTAAGTTTATCTTACGCTACGGGTAAAGTCATCTTTTCTCGAGATATTGAAGCCAAAAATTATCCTTAATTTTGCATTCTTTGTCAACGCAGTGCAGCAGCTGCAGACCGAGAGCGGGCTGTCTAGCGCGCTCATTGGCTGCTCTGCGGCAACTGCAGCAGCCTACCACTGAGCCTGGCGTGAAGTCATGCCCAATAGTGGCGCTTCGCGCTCACTACGCAATCGCATCACAGCCCGCCAAAGTGGGTGTGGCTTAGCGTATAAAAGCACAGCTCGGAGGCTGCTTCCGTGATTTTCATCTCTTCAGCGAAGCTCTTCGCACCGCTGGATCTAGAGAGAAGCCGCCGCCGTTGAAATCAGCGACTGCAAGCAGAGGAAAGCGCCTGAAGAAGCCGGTCACTTCTCGCCACCTTCAAGCCTTCCGTGCCAGCTACGCTATCTGGCGACATATCTTTTTTTGCTATTGCATTACTGTGTGTGCTCGCCGCTGCGACACACACATCTCTCTAAGTAAAAGAGCGCGAGCGTTCTTTTCAGAATGCCTCGCAATTCCTTTGGCTCGTGCCGAGCCCCGCTCAGCGTCGGAGACCGCCATGTGATTTGCGCTCTCTGCCTGGGCCCAGACCATGCAGCCCTCGCACTTCGTCGGGAGGCTGCGTCCACTGTGAGGAGCTATCTTGCCATTCTTGAGATTCGCCTTCGACGGCCAGGTATATCAGTACACCGTCCTCCCGTTCGGCCTGTCCCTAGCACCCCGTACGTTCACGAAGTGCATGGACGCGGCTCTCGCCCCCTTGAGAAATCAGGGCGTGTGAATTCTGAACTATTTGGACGATTGGCTGATTTTAGCACAGTCGGAGATAGAACTCGTATCTCACAGAGCTATGCTCCTCAGTCATTTGGAAAGCTTGGGTCTCACGGTCAACTGGACCAAGAGCTCATTACTGCCCAGTCAGTCAATTTGCTTTCTAGGAATAGAACTGGACTCTGTGGCTATGACGGCTGTTGTGGCAAAAAAATCATTAACCTGTTAACCGTCACCAGTGCGTGGGCGCTCTGAAGCCAATATCAACCAATATCACTGCGCAAGAGACATTCTGAGACAAAAGGTCTTTTAAAATGATTTTATTCTTGCAAGAATAGGTTCAATCTGACACACAGAAGTTACACTGTGCATGAGAGTGACACACAACAGGAAGATATGAGACAGCCTTTATACTCTTTTCAAGGTTCCTCTTCACCCGTTGTACCTTTCACCCACCCAGATAAGTGCCCGGTTGCATTAAGCACCTTAAGTTTTTCCCTTAAGTATGATACTTAAGGGGCGATTTACCCTTACCTAAGAGAACAACTTAAGGGTGTTGCATATAATCTCTTAAACGGTTCTCTTAGGTAAGGGAAACATTTAAGTGTTTCACGACAGCGATCCTGGATTCACGCCATAGATACGCAAAACACTAACATGTCGGAATATCACGTGTCAGTCCAGTGACGCTATCACGCAACACCGCGTTAGCTCCGAACGTGGCGGCAGTTTGTGTTGTTCACCGTCTCATGCTTTGGCATTTGTTTAGGTTTTGTGAATGCACTTCTGGCTCTGTGTCTCGAAATACAGCTGAGTATATTTCCATAGCATACCTTTTTTCTTCTGTCATGATTCCTTTTAAAACACAGAATCAGCTCGTTCTCCTGTGAATTTTTTGTCGGCCACACACTCTCCGTGCGCACACTGACTTAACGTTGTGATAGTTTACATGCGAGTCGCGTGTAATGACAGACAGACAGCCGTCTAGTTTGATAGCGATGTCAAATATTGCGCGTCGATCAAATCGGTATTCTTGCAACAATTTTTCATGGCTAAATTGGTCCAAAGGGTTCTCCCTATTCCCTATGATCTTCAGCTGGTTTCATAAATTCAGCCATGTCGTCTTATTTTTGTCCGCGTTACTCTTAAGGTTACGATTTCCAAACCTTAAGTTATACTTAGGGAAATTACCGTTAAGGGGTTTTATGCAACACTTAACGATTACTTAAGTGAAAAAACAGCATTTAAGGAAATTCTAAGTGTTTATGACGTTTCACTTAAAAAAACCGTTAAGTAACACTTAAGGGTATTTTTCTGCAACACCCTTAGGTTTAAGGGAAACATAAGGGCGACTTTAAGGGAAAATTACACTTAAGGTGCTTTATGCAACCGGGCAAAGGTCCTTACTGCTATTCAGTCTCTACTTAAAGACACAAACTGGTACTGAAATAAACTGGCCAAAACTGTCCGTCCCTAAGGTCAGTTGTCCTGTCCCATATGTTCCTTAAACGTCACGCACAAGCACGTACACACATATATTTGTACACATTGAATAGGTTCTCTCTCTTATGATATCTGTTAGGGATCAATGACAATTAAAATTTCCACAACACGGCTCGCCTGTCGACAGAGCGCGCGCGCCGTAATCGACACCTAGCCGCATCTTTCCAGAGGGGCAACACCGCCTCCCTGAAAACGTTTCTGCTGTATGGCCTCAGCTGCAGCAGTGCTTCAGCTGGGCTTACTGCGCATGCGCCCGCTACAACGCTGGTTGACCGCTCGCGTACCTCACCGAGGATGGACGCGCGGCTACAAGCAGATCAGAGTGTCTCAGAGCTGCATTTCAGCTCTGCAGCCCTGGTTAGCGGCCGATTGGTACCAGCAGGGGGTGACTATGGGAGTTATCTCGCACCAAAAGGTCATCTCGACAGACGCCTCCCACTCAGGTTGGGGCAGCCTTTTCGAGGGCAGACCAGTCATTGGCCTTTGGTCAGACCGAGACAAATGCCTTCATAAAAACTGTCTGGAGATGCTGGTGGTCTAGAACGCGCTGAAGCGCTTCCTCCCGTTCATACAGGACCAACACGTTCTAGTCCGCTCGGACAACATGTCTGTTGTGTCCTACGTGAACCTTCAGGGTGGTGTCAGATCCAGGAGCCTCTGTGATCTGACGGAACGCCTCCTTGTTTTGGCCCAGCACTTTCTGCGCTCGCTGAGAGCGGCGCATGTGCCAGGGTATCTGAACGACGGCCTGGACAGACTGTCCAGGGACAATATTCCCCCCGGGGAGTGGTCTCTAAACCCCCAAACAGTCCAGCTGTCATGGCGCCTTTTCGGCAGAGCGGAAGTCGACCTATTTGCGTCAAAGGACAACGCTCATTGCGCAGTGTTCTTCTCAAAGAAGGAGGATGCGCTGGCCCAAATCTGGCCCAGCCGCCCACTGTATGCTTTCCCTCCGGTCTCGATGTTACCACAGGTAATCAAGAGAATCAGGGAAATGCGCCGCCCGGTGCTCCTCATAGCCCCGCGATGGGAGAACCAAACTTGGTTCCCAGACCTAACGTGGCTGTCAAACACAGCCAGTGAGGAGAGATCTCCTCTCTCAAGCTCGCAGTTCGATCTGGCATCCCCACCCAGCGCGCTGGTCTCTGCACGTATGGTTAATCAACGGATACCCCCAGTCCGTTAGCGCCGCGTGTCTCGAGTTTGGCCCGATTGACTCAAAGGTCATCCTCAAACCAAGACATGGCTATGTCCCGAAGGTGATTGGCACTCCTTTCAGAGCGCAGGTTATTTCTCTGTCGGCTCTGCCAGTATCCGACAGCGAGAGCTTACATTACTTCGCACCTATTTCAGATGCTCAGAGGAGCTTTTCGTTTCGTTTGGAGGGCGCACCAAAGGTCTCGCCGCCTCGAAACAGTCCCTGTCCAGATGGATAGTGGATGCTATTGGTGCCGCTTACGCGTCGAAAGGTCTGCAATGCCCTCTGGGCATCAGTGCTCATTCCACTAGAGGCATGGCCTCGGCATGGTCCAACGGAATTTCCATTCACGACATCTGTATGGCGGCGGGCTGGGCCTCCCCATCTACATTTGTGAGGTTTTTATAACATGGAAGTTCCCGCCTTGCAGGCTAGACTTCTGTCAGTCTAAGATGTGTATGTTCTGCCCACATGCTTGTGCGCAGGCTACTTTCAACTATTTAGCTCTCCTGGTTGAGCTGCACTAATATGGGCTGATATGTAATATGCAGACCGGCAGCGTCACTCTGCAGTTCCCATGGGTGCTTATATATACATGTGTCGGCCCGCTTTGCTGGCCGCCCACTTTTCAGTGTTCCTCGGATTCCCTGGGACTCATATAGTGAATGCTTGGCGTTGACGAGGGGTTCCCGTAGCGTAAGCTAAACTTACGCAATACGAGAGAACCTCTCGTAAGAGAAAGTACTTGGTTACCTAACATAACCTCGGTTCTCTCTAGAGAGGGAACGAGTATTGCGTAACCGGCCGTGCTCGCGCCACGAGCGATTTTCGCTTCAGTTGATGAAAACCAGGGAAGCAGCCTCTGAGCTGTGCTTTTATACGCTAAGCCACACCCACTTTGGGGGGCTGTGATGCGTAGTGAGCGCGAAGCGCCACCATTGGGCGTGACGTCACGCTAGGCTCACTGGTAGGCTGCTGCAGTTGCCGCAGAGCAGTCAATGAGCACGCTAGACAGCCCGCTCTAGGTCTGCAGCTGCTGCACTGCGTTGACAAAGAATGCAAAATTAAGGATAATTTTTGGCTTCAATATCTCGAGAAAAGATTAACTTTAAGTAGCGTAAGCTAAACTTACGCAATACTTGTTCCCTCTCTAGAGAGAACCGAGGTTACGTTAGGTAACCGAGTATGTTTTACCAGTTCATTTGACTGATAGAATGCATAATTACTCTCTGGATTTTGAAAATATTTATGATAATAATGGAGTAATTTAATTGAAACTGGTCACATAAATGCAGTATTTAGGCTGTTGTTCCTGTCCAATAGAGTTCAGCGCTAGAGAGCATGGAGGACATTGAGAAGGTCTTCACTGAGCTCATCTGCTCTCTGGAGAAGAAACGCTCTGAGATTAAAGAGCAGATCAGAGCTCAGGAGAAGACTGAGATAGATCGAGCAGAGGAACTTCACAAACATCTGGATCAAGAGCTGACAGAACTCAGAAAAAGACAAGCAGAGATTGACAAACTTCTGGTTAATGATGATCAGATCCAGTGTCTGAAGGTAATGAAATTTCTTTCATCAGTATACATCATGTTTCTATACTCACTGTTTCACATTTTTAAACAATCTCTTTACATAATAAGCGGAGCTGTATTTGTCTCATTTCAGAGCTGTCAGTCTGTGTGTGTTTTACCCACATTTGAAGACGTTCCCATCACTCAACACACTCATCTGTCTTTTAAAGACATTTCAATCTCAGTGTTTAAGGAGGTTTTGGAGGACGCCTGTCAACAGCAAACAGCAAGAATATTCCGAGAAGGTCTGAATCTTTGATATGTTGTATTAATTTGTCATACTCTGTATGATTAAACCAACAAATTAATCATATCTTTGTTTTGTACTTTCTCTCCAGTGTCAAATATCCATGTTACAAAGCCTCCAGAACCAAAGACCCAACAAGATTTTTTGCAGTGTAAGTTGAACTGTAGTTTCTTCGAGACAAACACTCATATTTGATAAGTCTCAGTGGATATGATCTGTTACAATGTGACCATTTGGAACCAAAGTTTACTTTATTTTTTTATTCATTCCTCCTCAGATTTCTGTGCACTTCACTTGGATCCAAACACTGCATACAGTAAACTCAAACTGTCAGAAAACAACATGAAAATATCACTTTCAGATAAAGTCCAGCAATATCCTGATCACCCGGAGCGATTTGATGTTTTTTCCTACATCTTGTGTCGAGAGGGTTTGTGTGGTCGTTGTTACTGGGAGGTCGAGTGCAGTGGGAACAATTGGTCTGTAGCAGTTTGTTACAAAGGAATTAGACGTAAAGGAAACAGTGAAGACTGTGGACTTGGCTCCAACAAAATATCATGGAGATTGGGATATTATCAGCATAATTTCAGTTTCATTCATGCTAAAGCACAAGTCCGTATCCCTGTTGCCTCTAGAATAGGAGTGTATCTGGATCACAGAGCAGGAACTCTGTCCTTCTACAGCGTCTCTGACACAATGACTCTCCTTCACAGAGTCCAGACCACTTTCACTGAACCCTTATACCCTGCGTTTCTAACTGGACAAGGTTCGTCTGTCAGGATCATAGAGCAGAAAAAAGACCAATTATAAAACCAGAATATATACCATAAATTACTATAATGAACTATTTATAACATCAATGAACTATTCACAAATGCAAAAAGGTCAGTAAATGGTAGACCTTAATGGTAAATTTCCACCACTTTTTGCAAACTAAAATGGTTATGCTCTCATTAATCATGATTTAATAATCTTAAAAGTATATATTTTTATTATTCTTAGATAACAGTGATCTGTAGATTTGTTTTATGTTTTAAAGGTCTTATGTATATCACATCAGCTAGAAATACCAAGGATTCACTCTAAGCATGGAGAGTCTGGTTTTAGCTATTATGCCAGCCGCAGCTGGAACCAGCTTCCAGAGGAGATCAGATAATAATAATAATTAATAATAATTCATTACATTTATATAGCGCTTTTCTAGGCACTCAAAGCGCTTCACATGGAAGGGGGAATCTCCTCAACCACCACCAATGTGCAGCATCCACCTGGATTATGCGACGGCAGCCATAGTGCGCCAGAACGCTCACCACACACCAGCTTACTGGTGGAGAGGAGACAGAGTGATGAAGCCAATCAGTGTATGTATATATGGGGATTATTAGGAGGCCATGATGGACAGAGGCCACTGGGCAAATTTGGCCAGGATGCCGGGGTTACACCCCTACTCTTTCGAAAGACATCCTGGGATTTTTAATGACCACAGAGAGTCAGGACCTCGGTTTAACGTCTCATCCGAAGGACGGTGCTCTTTGACAGTATAGTGTCCCCGTCACTATACTGGGGCGTTAGGACCCACACAGACCACAGGGTGAGCGCCCCCTGCTGGCCTCACTAACACCTCTTCCAGGAGATGTGCTCCTACAGTAGTCACATTCAAATCCAGACTCAAAACACATCTGTTTAGCTGTGCATTTACTGAATGAGCACTGTGCCACTTTGTCCGACTGTTTTTACTGTAGCTATTTTATTTTATTTTTTATTTTAAACTCTTTTAATTATTCTTATTTGTTTTGATTATTTGAATTTCTTCTATGTAAAGCACTTTGAATTACCATTGTGTATGGAATGTGCTATATAAATAAACTTGCCTTGCCTTGCCTTGCCTAAAGTTGTTATATAGGCCTATATATATATATATATATATATCCTACAGGTTTTATTTTCCTACTGGCTGAATGTTTTGTGCCCAAGATTTAATTAGATTGTTTTAAAGATTTATGAATACATTTCTCTCTGGTGTTGTTTGGCAGCTGTAGTACATTTTCATGGTTATTAGAAGAACATTAGAAAATTACAATCCAAAATAGCAGAAGTTTAAATCCCCAAATTAAAAATTACAATACTTTACATACAGTACAATATACTTTTTAACTGTAAGATGATCCTGAGCTAGTAATTGGCCTACAGTATAAGCCTACATTTAATTTACCCCATTACAATTGACCCTTTACAGTTATTGCTATCATAGAAATACACTTGTAGGTTTAAAATTCTAAATAAGGCTAATGTCAAAATTACAAATATTTTTGCATATATATATATTACTTTATTATGTCTTTCAATTCAAACACATTTATACAAATGGACAGTTCCTTTAAAGACATCATATTTTTTCCTCAATAAATATTCCTTATTTTTCCTTCTACATTTTTTCTTTTGTGATAATACCCACCAACACATAGCCTAAAAAATACATAATTAGAACAATAACCAATGAGTATATAGTTAGACACTTTTATATATGAAAAAAGGGAAAAAAGACAAAATATTTATTAATAACAATAAATATTAATAAAAATGAAACATTCACATATTATAATGACACACAATTCCTAATGAGTTATTCAATAATATTATTTAAATATCACATATTCGATATTAAATAAGTAAATAAATAAAATAAAAAATAGCTAGAATTAAAAGGGAGGGAGGGTTCTATAAAAATGTAGTTAATGTGGCTAATATGTATTCCTTTATATTAGGCCTGGAATATTCTTTGATTTTAGAGTTGCACATATCTTTTCAAAATGTATACTTTTGCTCTTAATTTCATGTTATCCTCTTCATAGTGTACTTTAGAAACTAAATCTAACCAATCATTTAAAACTGGGCATTCATATTTTCTCCAAAATAAATTATTGCATTAAAAGCTGTGATTCTCACCATTCTAAATAAGTATAAGTCATCTTTATTAAGTAGCATAGGTCCTCTACCCAAAACTATATTTTGTATCTTTATTATATTTGGTTTCTTAACAAATTCCCCTCAATAAGGCTATCTGAGCATTTTTTTATTTATTATTTTAAGTATAAAATATATGAGTGTAATGAGATATAAGTTCACTGCAACTTATCCAACATCCTAAAGATAAATCATTATAATTAAAATATATTTCTGGTGTTATAAAATATTGCATATGGATTTTCCAAGCAAAATGTATATTTTAGTCAGAATTATTGCGCTCCTGTTTGGCGCGCATGCGCGCAGCAGCGCTCGTTCAATGTGAAGTTTAGCATTAAAATGGAAATATTTGCACGACTTTCTAACATTTACAGATGGAGAAAATACCTGTGAAATGTATGTTTTGCACTGAAGAAAAGACTCAAACGCATAAACGCATAAAACAGCACAAAATATATGCTGTTTGATGGTGGATCGATTTGATCCTCGATCGACCTCTAGGACTGCTTCAGACACGCGTGCACACCTGGTGCACACGCAATTATCTAGACTAGATAAACACCTGGATCAAATTAGTGGGATTGCGTGAACTTCAATTACCTTTTACGAAAACGCTTTAGCCCCAACTTATTTGTTAGAGTCATTCAAGTCAGGTGTTGGAGTTTAATCCCACTTTTCTTAGCGTATTTTATGGAACAACCCTCGGTAGAGCGTCGTTATCCCAGTAGTGGACGAGATAAACTAACGTTACTTCATGATCTTCAATTGTGAATGTGTAGTTTAATAATTACAGGTCAATAATGGTCAGCAGTCGATCACATGTGAATATATATCTTTCTCTCGCCTCTCCTCTTTGAGACAGCTAGCACACGCCCATTGTTGTGTTTTTATTTATTTTTACGCGCTGAGAACCAGGAAGTAAGTTAGCCTATTTGATTTCAAGCGAAATGAAACTTATTTCGCCTCCACTTCATAAGTTATTCAACCTCTATAGATCAACACCGCTGTTCTTTGGAGCAAAACTGTTAAGCAAATCATATTTGAGTTGTATTTCTGTCGAGGTAAGGAAATCGCATTGTGTGTACAGAGTTTCTACTCCTGTAAATTGCATCAGGCCTGGTAAAACAACATTTTTGTTTTGTAACGTTACTTTTGTTAAACGAGTATTTTTGGATTTTGTTGTCTAATCAAAACGTAAGTAATGAAATGGGTTACATGCCGACTTAAAAGCTGTAGGCTACTTTTACTCTTTACGTTTGCGATTTGTTCTTTTAAAATACATATCTATTTCTGTGGTGATCATGACTAAAAAGACTATTCTGGATAAATACAAGTTCAACTCTATTGACAGCATATACAACAATATTTACAGCCTGCAGTTGATCAGCATAAAACAGAATTTCTTTCCTCAGTTAAACAATTTAAACTGTGATTACCATTGTGATTAGGCTTCTCTCAAACTATTTTTTGGTTGGACACTTTGACTTTGTCCTTTCACTCAAGCATTTAATAACTTTGCTTTTCTTGGCAATTACAGGACAGAGACGGATAATCTGTTCATCTTTGAACACTGCAAAGAAATGTCTGAATCTGCAGCGAGTCAGTATGAGGATCAGTTCAGCTGTCCAGTCTGTTTGGATCCTCTGAAGGAGCCGGTGACGATTCCCTGTGGACACAGTTACTGTATGAGCTGTATTACTGACTGCTGGGGCCAGAAGGAGCAGGGGCCGCCGTACCGCTGTCCCCAATGCAGAGAGAGCTTCAGTCAGAGACCTCTACTGAAGAAGAACACTCTGATAGCTGAGATGATGGAGACGCTGCAGAAGACGTCTCTACAAACGGCTGCTGTGGAGTGTGATGTTTGCACTACAGAGAAGAACAGAGCTGTAAAGTCCTGTCTGCAGTGCTTGGCCTCCTTCTGTCAAACTCACCTGCAGCTTCACTATCAATCTCCTGCGTTTATGAAGCACAAACTAGTCCAAGCTTCCAGAGATATTCAGGAGAACATCTGTCTCAGTCATGGGAAACTACTGGAGATTTACTGCCAGGATGATCGTCAGTGTATTTGTTACTTGTGTATGATTGACGGTCATAAAAACCACAATGTGGTGCCTTTGGATTCAGAATGGACTAGTAAAAAGGTAATCAACGCTTGTGTACTTTAATTTAAAATTACCAATTTAAATTAGTGAGATACTGACCAACTTCCTCCTTTTGTTAACATCTTCAGAAAGAGTTAGAGGAGATAAAGGTGTCGTGTCAGAAGCTGATCCAGGAGCGAGAGAGAGGAAAGCGGGAACTCCGTGAAGCTGTGAAGTCTTTTAAAGTGAGTATGACAGTGATGTTTACAGTGCTTGTAAAAGTGACGTATTATTACAGATCCCACAGAGAATCTTAAGTGATATTTGCAGCGGAAAAACAAGAGCGAAAACATACTCCTACAAACAACAACAACAAATGTGCCAATGCTAATGTTTTCTGGTTCATGTAGTTTTTGCGCATGCAAAAGTAGTAATTTATTTTTCGGAAGCATTGCTTTCAGTTCTTTGTAGTTATATAAAGTATGTTTGCAAATAACCGGAAAACTAATCCAGTATAAACAAGCTACATTTTAGTTTTACCAGTTCATTTGACTGATAGAATGCATAATTACTCTCTGGATTTGGAAAATATTTATGATAATGGAGTAATTTAATTGAAACTGGTCTTATAAATACAGTATTTAGGCTGTTGTTCCTGTCCAACAGAGTTCAGCGCTAGAGAGCATGGAGGACATTGAGAAGGTCTTCACTGAGCTCATCTGCTCTCTGGAGAAGAAACGCTCTGAGATTAAAGAGCAGATCAGAGCTCAGGAGAAGACTGAGATAGATCGAGCAGAGGAACTTCACAAACATCTGGATCAAGAGCTGACAGAACTCAGAAAAAGACAAGCAGAGATTGACAAACTTCTGGTTACTGATGATCAGATCCAGTGTCTGAAGGTAATGATGCAAAAATGTTGAGAAACGTCCATAAAATAAAACACTGTTGTGCCGTGCTTGCTTTATGTTTTGGAAAATATCTGTTTTGCTTCAAAAATTAAGTCTTAATTATTTTTAATATTCTCATTTCAGAGCTGTCAGTCTGTGTGTGTTTTACCCTCATTTGAAGACGTTTCCATCACTCAACACACTCATCTGTCTTTTAAAGACATTTCAATCTCAGCGTTTAAGGAGGTTTTGGAGGACGTTTATCAACAGGAAACAGCCAGAATATCACGAGAAGGTCTATTTTTTTTTTTTTAAATTGAAAATAAGGTGATTCATTCAAATGTTTGGATTTCATATAAAAACAAAACATTCGATTGTGTTTCTTACCCCTTTAGTGTCAAATGTCCATTTCTCAGAGTTTCCAGAATCTGAAACTCCAAATGGATTTTTGCAGTGTAAGTTGAGATTTATTTTTATAGATTGTTCTCTCACACAACTGCATAGTGATAGTTAATAATATTCATTAACTATCTCTATATCTGTTATTTATTAAAAATAATAAATTTATCTGCTTATTGTTAGAAATAACTATTAAAATGTGACATTGTGAGGGGGAAGTGTGGATGGCAGGACTTTATTTGAATATCTATTTGTCCCTCCGTCCTCATCAGATTTCTGTCAACTGCAACTGGATCCAAACACAGCACGCAAAAACCTCATCTTGTCAGAAGAGAACAGAAAAGTATCAAATTCAGCTGAAGTCCAGCAGTATCCTGATCACCCAGAGCGATTTGATGGATATTGCAATGTCTTGTGTCGAGAGGGTTTGTGCGGTCGCTGTTACTGGGAGGTCGAGTGCAGTGGGAACGACTGGTCTGTAGCAGTTTCCTACATAGGAATTACTCGTAAAGGAAAGAGTAAAGACTGCAGACTGGGGTTTAATAGCAAGTCCTGGAGACTGACCCACTGTGACCAGAATTTTTATGTCAGACATGATGATAAGCATGTCCCAATCCCTGCTTTCTCCTCCTCTAGAATAGGAGTGTATCTGGATCACAGAGCAGGAACTCTGTCCTTCTACAGCGTCTCTGACACACTGACTCTCCTTCACAGAGTCCAGACCACTTTCACTGAACCCTTATACCCTGCGTTTGGGGTTGGTAGAGATTCATCTGTCAGGATCATATCATAGAGAAAAGAAGAATTTAGATCAGTAATGAAATGCTGAAATTGTTTATGTAAAGGTATAGATATACTCAAAGCCTTTATGGTTTTCTGCGCGTTCCTGTCAACTCTTTACTATCCTGTACAACAAAAGATAAGATGATTGAAGTTCATTATTGCAGCACAAAGTGCTCACATTATTGCTTTAGATTAAACATGTTTAACAGCATTAATAAATGTACCTAATTTGACATTATCTGAGTCATCCTCAGTGATATTTTTTTTTAAAGGAATTTCCAAAGGCTTTTCCCTTTTTTGTGAATTGTTTAATTTTGGGGAATATTGTGTTAAAGTATCTCAGAAATAAAGAGCATCTCTGCCCATGTGTTTACATGCGTCACTGATAGTGAGGTCCAAGTGAAATGTCAAACTCGGCTGTGCTCTTTAATGCCAGGATAATACAACACAATGTGATTGCAATACATAATCGATTATATTATGTCTTTCAGTGTTTGTATTTCACAAGTAGGTTAAGGTGTGTGTGGGAATATCTTTTTAATTCTGCTAAATTGGCAAATGACCTGCCATATAATGAAAAAGGAATCGCAATCTTACCAATCTACCATGTATAAAAGCATATAAATTGGAGTTTGCCTGGATGTCATTTTATGGTAATTGTCTCTTTCACTATACACTTAAATGTGTAAAAAATGTACATGCACATGTGAATTTTCTGTTTGCATGACACGTATTACTACACAAAAGTGCTTGCAAATTTGCATATTCGTTTTCTGTGTACTGCAGTATTAACTTTTCCAAGTTATCTTTTAACTACTACTATAGATACTTAGCTTTCAGATAGACAAAACTTACATTCCTCAAATCTCTTCATTTTGGTGCCATTGGCAGAATAAACATTTCCAGTAGGTGGCAGCAATGCACTAAATGGTTTTCGAGTTTCCCATTCAAATCCAAAAGAACAAGAGAATGCGCATGCGTAGAGAGAAACTCGAGAGATTATGCGAGTGTTGAAGTATGAAACGCATTATGAACTCTGGTTTTTTAATAATTAGAGTGTAATGTGTTGGCAGAGAGTTCTTCAGAGACTAGTGAGTGTATATTTATGTGTGATAAAGAATATTTTGTTTTAAGGTTTAATGTTATTTGAAACTTTCTTTTCTAATGTAAGAATTGATGTTTGTGTTGAGTTGATGTACATTGTACTGTAAATGAAATGTAGAATTAGATGTAGCCATAAATCTTGATCAGCTTCTATATAAATAGACATTCTTTATAAAAAAAAATTCATTTTATTTGCATTTCACCTGTAACTTGTTTCTTAGTAAAGCTTTCTGAGTAACTTACAAGTCATTGCACACTAGATTGTCTTTTTGGAAAAATGCGTCTGCTTAATGGATAAATGTAATGTAAATGTAAATCTCTGTTTTCTATGTCAGGTTTCTAATTTTAATTCAATAAGGTGTGCCGTTTCATGCTTACAAAAGCCCTGGTTACATAAGCAACCTTTCTATAGAGCTTTTTTTATATGCGGCTTATACTCTAAAACTCTATTATTATTTCCTTTTTTTTATTTGTCAGATCTGGTGCCCCTCCCAAAACATCACTAATAAAAATTGGGAATTTTGCCATCATCATACAAGAGAAGGGATACTCCAGATGTTAAAGCTGAGTTCGTTGTGACTGTTAAAGATGGCGTTTGTTGAAGTAGAGATTGAGGACACGAGTGATTCAGAACCATCCAGAATCGATCATGAAGATACAGAGGAACAAACAGGTTGGTGTCCATTCTTTAAGGTAACAAAACAGATGTTGTGTCAGTGAAATAAACAGTAAGTGAATGGCAAATGATACAGAAATCAGGGATGCACAACATATCACCCACCATATCGGTATCTGCAGATATATGTTGATTTTTTAATGTTATTGTTATTTGGACATGGTCATGGATTTAATGGTGAGACTTTTGCTTTTGTAATCAGGCTCTCAAAAATTATATGAAAATTTGGATTTAGATTTATCGCCCAATATATCTGTTATCGGCTTTCAAATATAAAGAATTATTGGTATCGGCCAAATTTTTCATATTGGTGCCTCCCTACAGAAAATGCATCCGAATGATCATATCATTCTATAGCAATTCTCATCCACTATTTAATTGCTTTGACAAGAGAATGACAGAATGAACCTTTGGCACATCAATATACCTGATACGGACATATACCTGATCTCTGTTGATATCTGCTACTAAATCAGGGTTCACCTAAACTTAATATGTTTATTTTAGATTGGATGGAAGTGAAAGAGCCAAGACAAGAATTGAATGAAGAGGAGGAGGAACATTGTAACTTGAAAAAGCTGCACACCTGCTCTCGGTGTGGAAAGAGTTTCAGACATAAATCATCTCTCAGGAATCATCTCTCTGTTCACTCTGGAAAAAAGCCCTTCGACTGTGATCAGTGCGGTAAATATTTTAGCTCATTGTCACATCTCAACAAACACCTAAAAATTCATTCAGACGAGAGGCCGTACTTGTGTACCGTTTGTGGAAAGAGTTTTTCACGGCTGGACAGTTGTAAACAGCACCAGAAAATACATAATGAAGTGAGAGACCATGTGTGCTCGAAGTGTGGGAAGAGCTTTACCACAGTTGGCCAGTTGAAACAACACCAAATAATTCATACTGGAGAAAGACCTTACAAGTGCTCATATTGTGACAAGAGTTTCACTCAATCTGGAAACCTGAAATCCCACGAGCGAGTTCACACCGGAGAGAAGCCGTACCACTGCACTCAGTGTGAGAAGAGTTTCAAAGATGCAACCGGTCTCAAAAATCATCTGCACCTTCACTCTGGAGAAATGCCATTTAACTGTGAGCATTGTGGGAAAGATTTTAATTCATCATCAAATCTGAAAAACCACCTGAAAGTCCATACGAATGAGAGGCCTTATGTGTGTTCTTTCTGTGGCAAGAGTTTTTCACTGCAGGAAAGTTGTAAACTGCACGAGAAAATACACACGGGTGTGAGAGATCAAGTGTGTTGTGTGTGTGGGAAGAGCTTCGTTACGCCTGGACAACTGAAACGCCACCAGATCATTCATACTGGAGAAAGACCTTTCAAGTGCTCATCGTGTGACAAGAGTTTCTCTCTGTCTGCACACCTGAAATCACACGAGCGCCTTCATACCGGAGAGAAGCCGTACCACTGCACTCAGTGTGGACAGAGGTTTAGACATTCAAACTCGGTAGCAAATCATATGAAAAAGCATTTCCCAAAGTTTCACAGTGAGCAAAATTCATCCATCCAGTTAGTTAGTTTGTAGTGCTTTATTGGCATGAATAATATTGTACATTTGTATTGCCGAAGTAATTGCAGTGCTTTTGCATAACATTTAAACAGTGCACAATTAGAATATTGCAAAACAACATGCAGAAAAATCAAAACTGATGAATATAAGTAAGTGGCACTAGTCACCATGAAATCAAAATGTACAATTCTTATATTTATGGAATATTGCAGTATTTATTATTAATTATTTATTTGTGCACATCATTATTTAATTTGTTTAGGGATAGTTCACCCAAAAATTAAAATCATTTATTATCTTGAAACATTTGATGGGCCCCATTGACTTCCATTGTATTTTTTTTTCCATACTATGGAAGTCAATGGGGCCCATCAACTGTTTGGTTACCCACATTCTTCAAAATATCTTCTTTTGTGTCCAGCAGAAGACAGACATTCATACAGGTTTGGAACAACTTGAGGGCGAGTAAATGATCATTTTTGGGTGAACTATCACTTTAAATTCATGTCATGTGTTATAATCTTGAATCAAAATAACTTGCCCTCCCTCTTGCAGTGACATCTCTTCTCTGATGATGCGTGAGGGCGGGGCAACCTGTCACTCACATGAGATTGACCAATAGAGGGTATGCATTGATGTCACTTTCCCGCAGGAACACGCCTCCTGAGTGGCAGAAGAGCTGCTGTGTGACTTGGTTTAATAGGGGAAACTGCGGAAACGCGAGTAAAACAAACGATTGTCAGTTTAAACTAAAGGTTGGACTTGATATAGTGTTCCTTACAACTTACCAAAGATCAAGTGATCAATGGATATTGACAGTCAGGAATCGTGTTTCCTGACATTTATATTGATCGATTTAAATGGAAGAGCAGGAAATTCATAAAGCAAATACGCCTGTGAGCGATTTATATAAATACAGTATAGGTAGGTCTAAATCCATGTGATTACTTATATATCCATGTTATATATCATCCAGCCTTAAAACTTGTATAGTTTTTTGTCAGTGTTTCTTTAAAAACATCCAATTATGCAGAATACATGATGGTAAATATTTAATTGATGAGTTGTTAATAAATTATATAACAATACAATATTATAGGGTATGATTTTACCCCTAAATTTAGCATTTTGACTCAAAATGATAACTGTAAATCAAAGCTTTCGCTGCCTGTAGTCCAGTTGTTTCTGTGAATCCATTTGCTTATCTTTTCTGTAGCTTTCGGCAGTCTGTAAAAAATAAACCTCAGATTTCTTGTCAAATGTAGTTGTACAGTCAATCGCAAAGCTCTTTCCCGTTGTAGATGTGTTTTGTGTGTTTTTCGCTGCATTCACGCTGAAAACCAATGCTGCCGCTCAGTCTTTCTGCCACTCAGTGTGTGTAACCGCAGTCACTCCGCCCGACGGTGACGTCACACGCATAACCTCTATACAGCAAACCACAACTATCCAATCAATTCCCCGTGGACAGTCAAGTCCCGCCCTACATTTGTTCTTGTTCGAGAAGCCGTTTCACTCAGATATACGTCACAATAGGAAAGAAAGGCGATTGAAATTTCTGTTTCATGCTGACTTCAGAGACTTGAACAAGTTAAAGTCGTATTCACACCTGCCTTGTTTGGTTCGATTGAATCGAACTCTAGTTCGTTTCCCCCCTTGGTGCGGACCTTTTGGGCAGGTGTGAATACAGCAATCGAACTCGGGTGCGGACCAAACAACCGAACCGAGACCCAGCTGAAGAGGTGGTCTCGGTACGGTTCCAAACGAACTCTGGTACGGTTCGTTTACGGTGTGAACATGAACCGACCCAATTGCAAGAAAGCACTGCGCCTTTGAGTTAACAGGCTTCCGTAGTCGGAGTTGCGTTATGGAAAAGTGATCTGTTGTAGCCTACTACATTACATCTGTTGCGCGTCTTTCTGCGCGTCGTGTGTGCATCATTGGAATGGAATGAATGAATGAGTGTGTGCATCAGGACATTCACATACAGAGCGTTCTCTTTAGTCTAATCGCGCATAGATGCAAAAAAAAAAAAAAAAGCATTTGCAGTTCATATAATGTAACGATAGTTACAATACAAGGATGATGCTGCGTTAATTTACGTAAAGCCTTTTTTGCACTTCCTGATTTCCCTACTTGAGAATCCTTGTCCAATGAATGGACGACCTTAGCACACGTGTGGTTTTGTTTACAAATTTTGGTTCACTTGCAAAAAGAGCAGTGTGAAAGCGAACCGTACCCAAAAAAAAAAAAAAAATGTATTTGGTCCGGACCAAAGCAAGTGAACCATCGGACTTTCCTGGTGTGAATACACCCTAAAACTAATATAAATGAAATGTAAACATGAGCAAATTGCATCTTACAGCATTAAGTGCAAGAATTTAAATATGAGTGTTATGGAAAAGTATAAGTATTTTATCATAAGCATTGTTCTGTTGCACAGGCAACACGTTTTCTTCAGATTCAGAGTAAATAATGTGAGATTTAGATGAAGTAGTTGTGCGTAGTTAGCTAAAATAAACTAGAGTTTCCGTAAAATTTCGTTGGGGAGCAGCAAAATTATTAAATCACTTTAATCTCACATTTAGCCTATGTATTTTTATTTTTCTGATTGTAAGCCACCTCATAAAGACATGAACAAAGAGTATGTCAGTTTGAAACGATTCTCTCAATTTGAGTTATTGACTTTGTTTAGACTGATCTATAGATTTCTCTGCAACATAAACATTGTCTATTGTCTCTGTATGATGGCAAAAATAAAATGATTGCACTGACATCTCTGATTATGTGTGATTTTAAGTAATGTGTTTGTCCATTATAGTGTTTTAAGAGACAGTAATAGATTTCGTTTCACAAGTCATGATCCTGTAGTTTGTCTCAGCCTGTTGACACAGTGCATTGTGCTTAATATAGTGTGCCAATACACAGAAGATCTACAGACGTCACCGTAATGAAACTAGAGAACTACTGGAATGAAAGAAGAGGCTTTTCAGCAGTTTTGTTTCTGCCAGACTATTGACAAGAATGAAATCAGCCTTTCAGTCTGCATGTGAGAGATCAGAGCTTCACATTAACCAGCTCCAGAGTTGAATAAGCTCTAATGTAATGAAACGCATTATGTGTCATGAGGCCTTTCATGAAAGGAGGTTTAGTGAAATGTTTGTGTTGTTTCCTGGCCACAAACAGGAACAGGTACTGGCCTGGGTACAGCCAGGCCAAACCTGGCATTGTCACATTGTAAAGAAACACTACGCGCCTGTAGATTTTACACGTAATACGCAAGCGCATGGCGTCAGCGTTTTCACAAATGCGCGTTTTTCTTTTTTACACGGATATGATAATGGTATCGTTTTCAAAAACGTCCAGAACACAAAGTTTTCTGTTTTTTTGCTAAGCCTGACTATAAGCATGTATCACTTGATTAAATTAACTTTATTTGAGCAACATTTCAGCTCTCGGGTGAAGAGCTGTGCAGAAGCATTTAGCCATGAGCAACATTACATCAGAAAGGATATGGATTACTCCTTTCTCAAGCTTTTCACCCTCTATCTATTAAACTTTTAGCCTGCAATGCACCTCTGTAAACTGCCCTGAGGTGTCTTGGCCTACCCTTAATTCACTGAGATATACCACCGTTTTTAGTTTATTAATAGATTGATTATTCAAGGCTGAGATTGTGCCAGTTCAGACAGAGACTGCTGTCTTCAGCTTCAATGTGGAATCAGCTTTTGCAAACACACACCGATCAGCACTTCTGCTAACACACACTGGTCAAGTGCATGCAGAGACCAGAAGAAAAGACCGGCGAATCAGTTTCTGTACTTACTGTAGTATTAACAGTAAATTATGCTTGCATACATGAAACTAATCTTTACACCAAACCAAAATTAAAACTTAAAATAGATTGTGGGGGTATAACGGTACACAGAAGTCACGGTTCGGTAATACCTCGGTTTTGGGGTCACAGTTCTGGTGAATGGTGACATCTTAATAAGAGTGCATGTTTGATACTAAAATAAGTACATTTAATTGCTTCTCATTGACCTATAGTTTGCCAAGTCCTGCCAATCACTACATATTAATCATAAAGTAAAATATTTACAGAACCTTAATATTTAATGGTATTTAATTATTTGTGCAATGCATTTAATAGATATCACTTTCATGAAAACAATTGGTTTGTAAAAGCTGAGTTTGAGCTGAGGTTTTGTTGCATTTGCGCAGTTTTGACAAACAAAAACTGTGCCCGTCTGTGGTGTTTGGAGCGCTTCGATTCAGTGAATCATTTTGCCAAGCAAATGATTCAGAGTTTCGAAAAGCTTCGTTTCTCCAGAACCCTTCATGCTTTCGTCACCGCCCTCGCGTCGACGCGGCCAATCAGCTCGCACTGGCCTACGGTGACGTCACTCGCTAAGTAGCTCGCGGAACAAAAGCCATCAGCGCGGTCTGTTCCTCCCGGCCGGAAGCGAGCGACAGGACGCCGACGCGTTCGTTTAGCGTTAAAGTTTGTTTTAAACGAATTTGACACGTTATATACGGGCGTATACAGTGTAGAATTGAAAATCTCGGGACTGGCGGCGAGTGTTTTTGTCTGCGCTGAAGCTGCGAAAGGATTCTCGCGAGAGTAAGTAGATGAGCGCGTGGCTGGTTTGTTTGTGTTTGTGCGTTAGATTGTTTCAAAGCAGCTGAAACCGCAGGACAGTATCGGGTCGTTTTAGGATTGTGTATTCTAGTTCTGGATCATGTCATACATGTTTTCATGCTGCAAATATACTTGCTCTTTAATTGTGCCACATGCCAGCAACATATTTGGCCTTTTCCACCTTTAAAACTCACTGTTTCGCTTGCACAGATGTGTCTGTAAACATTTCGTTCAAGGCTTTTTTTTTGTTGTTGGAAAAAACGTTGTCAGTCAGGCAGTGCACATGAAAAAGGGATGTTTTGAAAATAGGTTTGTGTGTCAATTTCCATGAGTGTTTACGTGTAAAGGTCACAGTGGAAAGAGTTACAGAGATAATCTAATCATGCTTTTTCCCTCCGTGTTTTTATCTACCACAGCTATTGTGAAATGCACGAATAAATCACTGGTGAACAGTGGGGGAGACTATTAAAATCTTTTGTATATACTTTTTATATATGTCAGCAATGATTCAGACATGTTATTTATTTCTTAGTGTGGGCTGATGTCACTTCTGCAAAGTTCTTTCTATTCCCTTTGTCTCATCCGTCTTTGTTCTTTAAAACCATGCCCGCTTCCCATT